ATACATTACTTTATATACATGTTGACCAAAGTTTACTTAAATGATTTATTGAAATTAGGATGACTGTAATTCTTTGTGTACAAGCGGGATAAAAACTCTGAAAAAATGTTGATATTTTATCAATTTAATGTTTTGTATAAATTTTATCCTTTATTCTGTGTTTTTTTTTTTTATTTCTCTGCTACGTTGAAGCAGCCTCTTCTATTCAATTCTATGAACTGCGTGTTGAATTGACTCACACTTGTCCCAATCTGGGCCCAAATGCATAAATAAATAAATAAATAAATAAAAATATAAATGAATAAAAATCAGCAGGATGGACAAGGTAGCATAGAGGAAATAGATAAATCTATTGTTTTGGCATTTTTTAGTCTAATGTTCTTTTCTTTCTTATAAAAAGAGAGTTAAGATAATGAATACCCTATTTTAGTTCTATATCAAACCATGAATTATAATACACATGTACGACAACAAGAGAACTAAAAAGAAAAATCAAATTTAACAATTGAATTTTCATTTCATTACCTATTTTTTGTCGCCATGAAGTCTTTTCAAGTTATTACTGCTGAAAGGACAAAATATAAAACAAAATCAAGAATAGACCCGAAAGTAGCAATTTCAACTGGGGAGGGGAAGGGGAGACATACAGGTATTTGTCAAATAGTTCATTGAAAAAAAAAGAATGAAGAAAGTCAACAGACGATATGAAAGTTTGTGTGTGCATGTTCGGGGGGGGGGGGGGGAGGGGGGAGGAGGCTGGTATTTTTAACCATATGCTGGTAAGGGTCTGGAAGCAGATTCTCTTTAGAAAATTGCTAAACGGTTTTATTGATTGTGTGGATATCAACGTCTTTTGCATTCAGTGTGTGAGTGAGGGGGTTAACTTTTATGTCATCTAATGTAAATTACAGAATCAATCAATAAAATGTCCTGATGTTAAGAGGGAGAGAGGGGGATCCCGATAAATGTTTTTAAACAAAATTGCAATTAAAGTTTTAAACAATATAATGAAAACAAATACAAATTTATTGAATTTCATTATCCATTTTTTAAAAAATTTTCCAGCGAAATAACAAACTTTTACAGCAGCTTAATACATTTTTTTATTAGAAAAAATACCATATGCTATTCTTTAATGAATGGGGCTGCTTTAAAACCAAACAATTTACGATGGAAATTATAGTAAATAGTTTAGACATCGGGATCGAGATGCCTCTCTGAGCTCGATACGTATACGGATACGGATACTTATACGGATACGTCAGATAGAACAATCTCTAATCGGAACAATTAAGTATATGTATATAATAAAATGGATAATGTTTTAACTACTTTGTAAATGATAATTTCTCCTGTCTAATTTTCTGTAATCACTTACAATGGAATTAAAAGCGGACAATAGAAGAAAATACTATATAATACCTTAGACGGATTAGGAAACACGTTTGTCATGCGTCAGTGATTATACGTAGATACTAGTGTGCGATGTGTTCACTTGGGGGAGAAGTTACGTTTTATAGCATGAAAAAATCTAACCTCATACCTGTATAAATCCGAGCAAAGACAACAAGTTACTAGGTGATGCGCATATATATATATATATAGTGCCTTGAATTAAAAGTGAACATTTATGTGTTTGTAAGAGAGAGAGAGAGAGAGAGAGAGAGAGAGAGAGAGAGAGAGAGAGAGAGAGAGAGCAAATGACAATTAATAAGCATTGTTTTCCAACATTACAGAAATCAACTATTAAAAATCAGAAAATGGGTGTCACTACTTCGGAAAATGTATTTTGTTTAAAGTAGATGTTGGAGTTGGAGAGGTAGAGGGGGTTTAAGCTCAATTCATCGAATAAAATGTCCGTTTTCATTTCATTTGACTAAATACATGAAATACAAATTTCCATGTACTACATTCCTTAAAAAAGTGAAATGAGGCAATACTTGCATGTGCAATAGGGCGGGAACCCCCCCCCCCCCCCCGCCCCAGCCCCCATTGTATCAAGTGAAAGAAAAAGTAACTAATTCATAAAGTAGGAAGGGTAGGTCCTTATATATATATATATATATATATATATATATATATATATATATATATATATATATATATATATATATATATATATATATATATATATATAATATCACTACAAAGAAATAAACGATCGAGCATTCATATGGTAGACAGTCTCTTTTTGGATGATGTATCAAATGGCGATCTTCACTTAATTTATCTTGCGACTGCTTTTTATTGTATTTGTAATATCAATATAGAAAATATGTGGATTATAAAAAAAAGCTGCAATTTATGCATTTAGGTAGGGTAGGGTTTTTTTTTAATTAAATTTTCTTTGTACTCAAGTTATGTTCCATTATGTCATTGTTTGTTAAGCATGCATTATTGGTCAGAATATAAAATTACAAGATACACTCTATACACATGTATGTGAAGGGTAGCCTTGACCGCATATATATATATATATATATATATATATATATATATATATATATATATATATATATATATATATATATATAAACAAAACAAACAAACAAACAAACAAACAAAAAACAAAACAAAACAAACAAACAAACAAACAAACTATAATCGAAATTATATTTTTGCGTCATCTGTAAGGGGAAAAAATCATATTATCCTGTTGTAAAACAAGAAAAGAGTGATTCAAGTATACTGACAAAAAGACACAGCAGTTTTCACAATGTGAATAATTTGAAGACATCGAGTACACGACTACTACGCTGATTCACTGAGTTGTCAAGGCCTGCTTCAAATGTGCCTACACACACAGCCATATGAACCGAACAGACGAGTTTTCATTGATATGTTAGTTTCTACTGATACTTTTTCATTTTTTTAATACAGTCATAAATTCTCTCTGGTAAAAATCGTAAATGCTGCAGATTTATTGCGTCATTTTTCATTAATCAAACCAGAAACATATATTATTTTCGTTTTTAAAAGTAGGACGGGGGGGGGGGGGGCAGAAAAGAAAAATTCAACTTACCTGAAAAATCTGACAAGGAAAAACGGGGGAGGAATTGATTAATCTCTAAATTCCTCTTTCATGTGTATGTGTGTGTGTGTGTGGGGGGGGGGGGGGTTCCAACATACTTTCAGAATAATATTTTCTTCATACATTATCATATTACATTGTACATGTAACAAAATTTGGCTGACACTACGTGTCTGATATTTACTCACCGACGCAGCATTCATGTGCACAGGGGTACCTTAGGTCAATTTCTATTCAGCTGACTTGCATTGCATTTTGATTTGTAAAAAATAAATATTTGGAATTAAATGTGCATGAGTTTTAGTTGCAAAAACATTCTCATATACGTTACGTAAGGGATGGCTATTGATTAATTTTCTATCCGAAATTGTCAGAGGTGATAATTCCTCGTATTGGCTTAGATATACTTGTTCGAAATACTATATTCTGCGAAAAATTAAACCTGGCTACAATATACATGCATCATAGCCATATCATGAATCCGGCCGGGGGGAGGGGGGGGGGTTGCCCGTTCGTAATTTTTAGGTTGATAGAGCTTCTTCTTAGATATCTTCATATGCCAATGAGCAACTTACGCTCATAGAACTAAAATTATTGTCATTTTTTTCTGCAGAAAATAGATGTAGGTACATACACAATAAAAGTTATTAAACACAACTTTATCTGGTACTCGCGATAGATCGAAATTGCCCAGATGGTTGAAGTTACATTACTCTTCCCTATATAATCAGATAAAAAAAGTCAGATAAAAAAACCCAACTTTACTGTATTTTTTTTAATTACATGTTCAAAGTTAAGCCAGTAGCATGAACAAAAATGTCATTGTTTTATGTTCATTTTTTTTTTACCTCTCCATAGCCTTCTTTTCCTTAAGAAAGAATCTTTGACCATGCTTCACAAGATATTTTTTATTTTCCCTTCATTTCCCTTTTCGGAACCCCTTTGCTCGTTTAAATGTCCATTGAAATGTATTGTAGCGTCACGGTAGCGACAAACGACAAGAAGTAGTTTTGAGGTATCTTGCGGGGATTTTATCTTTTGAAATGTCAATAACATTGAAGAATTCAATTATGCAACTGTGAATACAATGAACGATCCCCCTTTTTGGTTACGTTCGTTCGTAAGATGTCGGTATTTCTCTAATAGGACTTTCAAGATTTAATTGACAAAAGAACCTCGATCTGTTACGAATATAGCGATTCGAGTCCCCGAATTGAAACGATCTTCTACGTTTAAATACGTACTCTTACGATATAATACGTTCATCACGCCCCGTTGCGCTAATTTGCGATAGAAAATCACGTTAATTGCAAGTCTTTCATGATCAGTATCAAGAAGAAGCACGCTTTGAGCTACGATTGTACCCCGACAGATATATTTTTATTTTTTTAATAAACAATCTGACTACATTGAATCCATTATATTTAATCTATTAAAAAGTAAACACAATAAAAACATACAATCAATAGAAATGGGAGAAGTTGAGGTTGATAACAACGTGGTGTTTGCAGTGCTACATTGTACTATGTCCATAATGTTATTGATATAGAAGAAGAGGAAGAGCAGCAGATAGACCATGTACAACCCCATCAAAGAAGGGTTAAAAGAGCTGCACTCAGGCAGGAGATGGGATCGCTCGCCTTTTTCCTTTTATGCCCCTGTTACTCTTGGGTAGCATCTTTAAAATATTTTTAAAATATTTTTGCATATGATCTGCTTGTTCCGATCGGTGAATGAAACACATTAAATGTTGTCCGTTATGTAAGTGAGTTTAAGAACTCGTAAGAAAGCGTAAGCGTCGGTGACAAAGCGTCAGCACTCGTATCTAATCGCGTTTACTCTCATCTGTTCCTATCAAATTGTAGCTGAGCGGAAATTATTCGTGTTAGCTCGTGAGCAGTAGGAGCACGCAAAGCGTCACGAATAGTGACAGACAGTGAGACATCGCAATGAATCGCAAACCAGCGGGATGTTTGTCCTGTCCGAGGTCGATCCCGATGGTCACGATATGAAAGCCAGATTAGATGAGCTTACTTACGATGCAGTTGAGGTTAGTTACGATGCAATACTGTCTGATACGATGATAACGATTAAAATCTAATCGTGATAATCGTAGAAAAATTTTTGAAAGACAAAAAAAATTCCACGATCAACACGATAGCCACGAGTGAACAAAAGATTTGTTACGGTTTGATACGATCATTACAATTTGTCCACGTTTTAGTCCCCGATTTCAATTGTGGCACCAATCATGATAGTGGGAAAAACCTTCCGCCACAATTGCAAAATATAGTTCTTCGCTTAAAGCTTTTGGCATTGGAAATTGATCATGGAGTTTAAACTGAATATAGTTTAATTAGTATTGTAGAATCCAAATTTATTAAATATAGCTTAAAAGAAAAATCTGCTCAAAAGCTCAGAAGCGAACCTCGTTAAATTCAAGCTAAAAAAATTGGATCCGCTCAGTTCATTTATTAAGGGATCAGTGTTCTCGTAAGTGAAACCCTGGATAAGGTTTAACCCGTCTTCGTTAATTGTTCAAAGGAAATTATTTGATTGTCATTTTTTTGTTCGGCAAACATGCATTGTCAGACTTTAAAAAATGCCAGATTCAAATTGTAAAGTTTCAACCGGCAATTCCAAAGTATCTCGCAAAATGCAACTATTAATTAATAAAGAATAATTGAACAGATGTTACTTATTTGTAAATACATGTAAATCGGGGAATATTTATGAGTGTAATATAAAATTGTTTCTTTCTGATTTTAATATTAATCATTTCAAGATTGTATTGATTGTTTGCAAAAAATCTCATAATTATAATTTACTGCAAGCTTTCTTTGTTTTTATAAGAGTAACGCTTTAACTGTTTACCAGTCACGGGTCACTGATAACACACATTCAAATGGGTTCATGTAAGAAATCAATAATGGTTTTATGTACTAGATGCATGAAAAGAAAGGACAAGTGTGCGTTTGATATCCTGCATATTTAAAGAAATATGCATTAAATATATTTTTTGAAATCAAATAAATTGCATACATAATTTTTTTTCTACGTTAATGTCAGCAATTCAATAATTCGTTAACATTGGTGACAGCGTCTATTAAACAATGTACAAAGTGACAGTCTGTAAAAGACAAATAGGGAGGATGACATTAAAAATTCATTATTCTTAATTTCAACGAGTACTATACTATCATACGACTAAAGCCGACTATTCGAGTAAAATTGACATCCCTTATATATATATATATATATATATATATATATATATATATATATATATATATATATATATATATATATATATATATATATATATATATATATATATATACATATAGGACTCCAAAGTCCAATGGTGACGGCAAAGTCCGATGGTCTCGCACGCCAAAGTCCGACGGTGCGGAGAAGCAATTAACGTTTATGACGTCACAATATTCCGACGTCAATCCTCGACGCCATAGTCCGTAATTCAAAACCAATAATTTAGGATGAGTCATCGAATACAATTTGACTGATTTTGCTTAATGTTTGCACTCACCTGAGTTATTAGGATTAGTCCTTGCACGCCACTTGGCTGATAAGGGCTAGACCTTGTGCACAATTACACTGATTATAGGATGGGTTGCACCCACCCAAGACATTAAGGGTTAATCTTTGTACACTATTCGATTGAAGAGTTTTAGTCTCGCATCCCAAAAGAGGTTTGATTGATATGGGCTAGTTTCTCTCCCATCCAGGATGTTACAGACTTTTAGACCGATTAGGGTTAGCATCATACCCATCCAAGAGATTAGGGTTAACCTCGCACTCATGCAAGAGATTACGGTTAGCCTCGCACCCATCCAAGAGATTAGGGTTAGCCTCGCACCCATCTGAGAGTTTTGGGTTAGTCTCGCACTCATCCAAGAGATTAGGGTGAGCCTCGCACCCATCCAAGAGATTAGGGTTAGCATCGCACCCATCAGAGAGGAAAGGGTTAGCCTCGCAACCACTTAATAAATTATGGCTAGTGGTACAATATATTTTTTCCGTTTTGTAGTGAACCATATAACTTTGGCGTTGAAATACTTAAAATTCATTTAATTTATCTTAAACAGTTTTACCTTGGCGTAGCGCGGCATCGCAATTTGGCGCAGAAGTACTATGACGTCAAAACAATAATTCTTTTTCTGCGCCATCGGACTTTGGCGTGTGAACCATCGGGGTTTGGCGTAGACTATCGGACTTTAACGTGACCATCGGGCTTTGGAGTCCAATCGCACTTTGGAATCCTATATATATATAGAAATATACCTAAATCGATAACAATGAAATATATGGAGATAACGAACAGTATTCAAGCTCAAAAGTCCATTAAACAATACAAAATAGGAGCAGAGCAAACACGGACCTCCAAAACATCAGAGGTGGGATCAGGTGCCATAGAGTATAAGTATTAATAATAATAATAATAATAATAATAATAATAATAATACATGTAATAAAAATAATCAATATTTCGAAATTTTGAATTTAATTCTAGATGACATGGTAATCAACAGAGGTTTTTGCTTGGGAAATATTATTTATAGATGTCAATGTTTGAGAAATGAGTAACGGGGTCATTTTTCCTTTCCTGATCATGATAATATTTACCAAAGTAAGTAAACATCTTTTAAATGCACATTTTTTGTAATAATCTAATAGCTTATAACATTTTTGAAAACTCATTTTAGAAGAACTTAGCAAACAATGGACAAGAAGGAATTGATATTTCTTCCATCTTTCAGAATTAAATATTTTTTTATAGAGAGCTTTTAATTATGATGCAAGTTAGATGTATACACAAACAGACGAACACAGTGCAAGAAAATATCTTATATTAAGAAATTTATTATGTCAACATAGATTTATTCTTGTATTTTTTCTAAAGACCATTTTTTGCTTTATTGATTTTAAAGGAATGGGTCATTTGTGACAACCGATTTTGTGATATGTGGAAGGAAACTGTGAAAATTGTTCGAATATGTCCTTCAAATGAAACAAAAATAGAAAATAAAAATAAAAACTGCCTAAAATATGCTGAGAAAGCTCATCTTAACAACTGCATAGACTATACAAAAATCCGATACCACTGTGTCCTTAATTCTCATGGGAATCAGACGATTGAGGTGTGTGCACCAGAGAAAAGAATAAATGGTAAGTAACAACACCCAAATAAAGCTGTAAATAAGACTTTATGAATTACCCCAATAATTTGAATAATAAAATGGTCTTTTCTTGAAATTTAACTTTCCTAACAGGAGGGTGTATGGAACTTATGCAGAGCTTACTTGACATGATGCCAAAAATAAGACAAAAAATATATTTTCTTATGTTTAGATTTAAAATTCCAAATTTTCATATCAATTTTCTTTGAATCTTTGAAACTGTGTACTGTCTTAATATGAAATCATATTTTCGTGGGGTCAAAATTTCGAGGGTTGAAGAAAAAATATTGGTTTAGGGGCTTTGATTTCATTAATAGGAGCTGTTGAGCTGTTATATGTCTATGAAATTCTACATTTCGTAGTGTACATGAATTTGTGGGTATCTTCCTATATCCAAAGAACAAAAATTATCCCCCTCCAACTTAGAAAATGTCTGATTTCACAGTATTTTATTCCATTTTTTATTCCTCAGGGTTTTGTGCAGAGTTCAATGAAGAGGCTGGCGAAATACTTCCTAATCACTATCTAGACTGCTCATTATTTACGCCACCCTGCAGGAGTCATTATAATTCACCTGATGCTTATCTCTGTACGTACAATCTTCCCCACTATCTGTATTTTATTATCTGTGATACACGTACTTATATCTGATAAATTTAATTAACTTTTATTTTTGAAGAAAGTTACTTCTTATGAAAAGAAATACATTTAATGTTTATCACTTTGAAGAGAGAGAGAGAGAGAGAGAGAGAGAGAGAGAGAGACCTAAGCTAAAATTACCTAGCATACTTGAGTCGAAGGCTCAGGCGAGCTTAAATTTTTCAGTTGTCAAGCATTTCAAGCTTTTTTTTTTAAATAAAGGAAATCAGGAAGAAAAAGTGAAAAAGCATTAAAATCTTCTCAAAAACCACTAGCTAGTAAATATAAAGCTACGAGTAAGTTGATTCATTTTCCTGAAATCATGAGCCCCTAGCCCATGGGATATTATCAAATACGAGCCTGTAATTTACCTAGTATTAGAATATATAGGAAAACATTTTTTTACAGGAGTCAAGAGTGTGTAAATCTTATTCTAAAGAGCAGAGAGGTTATAAATCACATAACTTTGCATGAATATTAAGGTGCAGCAGAATCTTTTTTTTCATCCATGGTTATCTAGGATATGATCAGTCTACCTTCTTTGATCACAATTCTACTTGCGAATAAATAAGGATATATTTTGAAAAAAAAAAAATTCCCCAAAACACCAGAATTGCGATTAGTCATAAGAACCAAATTTATTCAAATCTTGGTTCCTTGTGGTATGTTCTGGTGGCAATAGGGGAATGAATGTTTACATGAAATGTGTAAAGAAACAGGCATTCTGAGAGTATTGCATAAGCAATATATGTCCCCTAACGGTATCCCCTTTTCTTTTTAGGATGTCATATGACCTATATATGAAAAGTGCCCGCCCCCCTAATTGTGGACATTTCGGTAATTACTTATGAATGAAATGTCTTGGAATGAAGTTTGCCTTTTAAAGACATGTTTGACTGCCATTAGTCATATATGCATGCTTTGATCAGAACAGCTCATCTTACATGTATTAAAAAAAATATAAACTCTTTTGAATTTTTGACATAATATCAAATTTTATCGTTGTGGGGCACTTATGCAGTTATCCAAATTAAACAAGGTATGAATTGACCAGACACCATTGAAAATGTCTGATGAAAACTCTAGAATTATAAGAATAAAAAATAAACGACTTCCTGTAACAGTGAACGCAAGAGGGATTGGGGTGTTTTCGAACCCTTTGACAATAAAATTACACTGTGTATGAATAACGCGAATGTCCAGGCATCTATTTGTATTCAGTGTATTTTTCTCTGTTGAAATCCATTTGAAACAAATTAAAGTTAGGTGTGCAATGGAAATATCGGCGATTTTTGTCATAAATATACAGTCTAAATCACGATGGGTTTCTTTTAGTACCATACTAAATATCGGACGAATGTAATATGGTTAGCTACTATATATCAAGTAAGATTAGATTTTCTATTTAGACTCGCACGTGATATTATGCACAGTCAAGTGATATTAACAAATATACTTGCAGTATTTAGGACACCTTCAAATTTTAATGTCATGTGCATAACCAACTTAAAATTCTAAGTTTGTGAATATTTTCAACATTTATTGTAGTTTGAGATACTAGAAATAATTTATTTATTTTTAGGATTTCGCCAGGATCGCATCACTTCCAATAGCTTTATACTTCTTATGTTTATTGGTAAAAGCTTATTATGGTCCATTGCTCGATTTATTTATACCCTACATTACCCTTCAATGTACTCGCATATGGATGTATGAGAGTATCAATTAACTAAAGAATAGACGAATAATAAATGACTAAAATAATAAAAAGACATGGCATCTAAGTTTTTAGTCTCTTAAATATCTGAAAATAATGTTATTTTATAATATAATTTTATAATTATATTCATATAATATGTTCATGCATTCAATGATATTAAACGAAAAAATAAAAATTGAAATAAAAGCAAAGAAATATTAAAAAATAAATATTGAGAAAAAAATAGAGAATTTAAATTTTAGCATAAAATCTTAATTTTTGGATGTCGTCGGTTACCGCTAATGCACAATATTCAATTTGTCTTCACTTCCAGGTGCTGTTTTCGATCAAGGGACATCCAAAAATATACAATAACTTCTTAATACACTAATTATCTGAAAGATTCTCCAAAATTAACCTTGAAATTGAAAATTTTCATGCAATAATTTTTCTTTCATGCATCTTAATATGACTATAGGTTTTTGAAGTCTAAGAAATGGTCTTGTGAAAAGGATACAATTACAACCAATTAATTTCAAAAAATAAATAAAATTTTTAAAGAGGACGACAAAGCCTCCCCCAATCTTGTCTTAAATACCAATGTATATTACCATTAAATTTGAAATCTGTAATAACTTGCAATGACATGGCATGTTTTTAACACTATGTATTAGTTAACAGAAAAACTGAAATATTGCAATAGTTTTAAAAATCTATGCAGTTTTTCACAAATGCCTTGATAACTGTTTTTTTAGATCCAAAAATATGTTATTTTTTTTTCAATTAGAAAAAGCATAACTGTTGATTTTATTCATATTTTGTGAAAATATATTTGAGATTTGATTATTTTTTTTACTTGTAATATGATTAATTGTAGTGATAAAGAAAAACCGTGAATTTGTAATCATAACTTTGTAAATTCAGTGACATTTTCTTTGTATTTTCATTTGCTTAATTGCAGATTTTCGAAGCCTGAGGAAAGGACTAAATTAAATAAGGCAATTGCATACTTGTTTAATTTATGGCTGAAGGGCTGTTTTGGGTTTAAAAAAACTTATTTAAAAATTTCAAGAGAATGGAAAGAAGTTTTAGGAAATCCATAGAGGCATTACAAACGAAATGTGAAAATAACGAACAGTAAAGATACTCAAAATCCAATCAAAAAAAAAAAAAAAAAAAAAAAAAAAAAATTGTGAGTAAAGCTAACATGGACCTCTGAAAACAGAGGTGGTACAAGTATCAGGTGCCCCATGGAGGCGTGAGCATCTACTGTCGGCCGGCCTAGTAATTATTAAAATACAAAGACAATTCTAGACCGTGTTGATTCAATTTTTTCTTCAGATTATCAAGACTTAAGGAAAGACTTTCAATAATAAGACACTTTTATAAAAAAAAAAAAACTTGAAAATAACTTGAGTCCTGTTTAAATACAATGAACAAGTTTAACCGCATAGTTTTATTTTTTTCATTCAAAGTTTCATAATAATGGCATTTGGAGTGACAAAAATGTGTTTAGATTAATAAGGATGGTTACAGGAAGGTATAGTTTTAAACATCATAGAAGCTTGACATTTTTTAAAAATATATATATATATATTAGAAACGTATAATTTGCATCACTTTCAACAAAAAAGGTCCAGAAATATATACCAATCCAGGGATCTGGGTTTGTTTTGTTTGTATCATCTGTCCTTAGGTTAGAATGTTGCTAAAAATTGGGGTCAAATTTACATAATTCACTGAAACCCCCCCCCCCCCCCCCCCAAAAAAAAAAAAAACCCATCTTAATCTATTTTATTTCATATTGATAAAAAAGCATCACCACGTACAATTCATACATATTTGATTTACCTATGAACCCAAGTGGCTTAGTTGAGGTTGCGATGTTTTTGAATATAAAGGAGAAAATGTTTTAAAAACAGTTTTCTGAAGACGAGCAGAACGAAGATTACGAAGGTGAGAACTCAAGTTTGTTTATATGTAGACATGTACTGTCTTCTATGCGTTGTTTTAATTCTTCTGTTGTTTAGACGAAAATTGCTACAATCACTCCAACAACGAAATAGTAATTAAAAGAAATAAGTATGGCGAAGTCACCACACAAATACAACCAAGAAATGTTTCACCTGGAGTACTTCCCTCCATCAGTTATTTACCGAATTCTTCAAAACTCATAGAACCGTAAGTAACTTAAAACAGTTCACATTTAGTTGCAAAAGATTATACATTCTTAGACAAAGCACAACTTCTGATGCAACTGTCTTATAACATTCATTTCGATTGGCATATGCACTGATATTTGAGACATTTACACAATCATTAACGAGAGTGAAAGCTTTTGATGATTAGACCGACGCAAAACACAATGCTTTACGTTTTTCATGAAACAAAACTAAAAAAAAACTAAAAAAAAAAAAACATAAACATTAAACAAAATGCATTATTTGCATTAAAATGAAAAAAAAATCTTACTTCTCATTTGATATTTGCGACCGTTAATACCGATTGAGCGGTTGCAAATATTCGTTTTTCTTGCTCCACTGACGCATGCATTTTGCGATTGTTAAATCGGCATTAACGGTCGCAAATAAAAAAATGAAAAAAAAAAATAGTTACTATCTAAATGTATCACAGCCACTTTATGACAAAAAAGTAATTAGAGAAAAACTTACTTCACCTGAACCAAAGGCTGAAGTAAGCTTCACTGATCAGAATGTGTCCTTTGTCTATCGTTGCTGTTGAGGTTGTTGTCATTAACTTCACATTTTTATAATTTTCTCCCGAATCATTGGGTCATTTTCAAGCAGATTTTCCATAAATTATGCCTTGGGTAAAGGGAATTCAGATTTGTTTAAATGAAGGGTCAAGGCCTCTTTAAAGGGGAGGTCAAGATACTGAAAATTTAATTGCTTTTTCACAAATCCTCTCAAGAACCATTGGGTTAGAAAAGTGGAAAATTATGTGAAAGCTTCATTACATAGTGTTGATTCAATTTTGTTCAAATCGTGATCCCCAGTAGAAGTTAAGTTGTACATGGGAATATACAGGAAAAAATATTTAAATATTCTTCCCAGGAATCCCTGAACCAGAGAAGTTGAAACATGTACAGTGTAGATACATGTTTGGTCAAATTATTGCCCCCCCCCCCCCCCCCCCAGGAGATGAAAGGGTGGTGAAATGGGGCCACATGGATGATCAAAAATTTGCATTAGAAATTGGAAAACACCTTTAAAAATCTAATGAAAACCAGCAAAGAAATAATAAGTGTATATCCAAATTAGTTCAAATCATAACCCCAAAAGGTATGGTGGGGTCACAATGGGTGATTTTTTTTTTTTTTTTTTTTTTTTTTTTTTTTTTTTTTTTTAGAAATCTTCCTTATCAAACGTATGATTAGTCATATTGTCTTGGGAACAATAGGAAATATAGATTTAAATTTGTTTAAATCATAACCCCGCTGGGTAGGGTGGGGTCACAATGGACGAGTGTCTTTAGAAATTTTCCCGAGAATAACTTTTGCATCATTAGCCTTATCATGACAAGGGGCACACGGCGTGAACGGTCGACAGAGGGATGCTTACTCCTCCATGGCACCTGATTCCACCTCTGATGTTTTAGAGATCTGTGTTTGCTCTGCTCCAAAATTTGTTTTATGGACTTTTGAGCTTGAATACTGTTCATTATCTCCATATATTTCATTGATATGGAAGCATCCTCAGGTTGTGTAGATTTCAATTACTCCAGAATTTGTTTAATGGATGAATTTGTTTAATCAAAGGAATAAGTATTGAGCATCTTTAAAAATCATCTTTTAGAAAGCAGCAAAGCCATTAGTAGTTATATTAATAGAGAAGCATCATCAGGTAATGCAGATTTAAGTTTGCTGAAGCCATGGCCCCCTGGGGTAGGGGATTCTAAAAATGGCCAAGTTTTACATGGGAATATATACGAAAAAATCTTCAAAAATCTTCTCAAGGACAGCTAAACCTTGATTAGTAACATGAATATGGAACCAAGTTTGTTTAATCATCACCCCCGGGCTGAAGTAGGATATAAACACATATAATTTTTTAGCTTTCAGTACTGGGCTTGTTTCGGCTGATTTCTAACCAAAGTGCTCAGATAAGCAATGTGGCCCTTGGTTATCTTGTTTCACTTCGTCATTGTAATATTTATTCATTTCCCTCTATTAATCAACTATCTGAGCACTTCATGAAACTTTTCTTTTCTTCCTACAGGATCCAAACAATTACTATTGTATGCATTGTTATCTTAACGATTGTTACAGTTACCTTGTTTGGAAAATTGCCAAAATGGTCTAAGTACGTATGTATGTTCTTACCAAGCAATATTACTTTATTTCTAGCATATTTACAAGATATAGAAGTATGTGTATAACTATATAAATAATCCATTATCTTTGTTCATATCTAAAATATCTTCAACTTAGTTATCCATCTAAATAAGAATTGTCAATTATTATGTAATATATACATGTATATCGTTGAATGTTGTGTTAATTATTTATGCTTCATGTTTTAATCGGTTTTGTCGTAGATTTCAATGTATCAAGCTTTTTGTTAAAGCTTTTTGTATCAACCTTTTTAAAAATATTCAGGTCTATTATTTTTATTCTGATCCGACAGTCTGTCTGTCTCACTATCTTCTTCCACAAACTTCTCTTACATTAATGTGTCCCTATAATAGAATTTATGATATCCTGTGGGTTTGCAGAAATTTAGAAATTTTATGATCTCGAGGTCTAGAGAATAGGACATAGATATCTAAAACGCTTCTCAGGGTGATAAGTGAAATATTTACAGTCATGGTACATTTGAACAAACTTTTTTATATGTACTTACAGGTATTTGATAGATAGAAGCAAACATTGCAAGAGAAACCGTACAGAAGAGGTAAACAGAAACACCAATAGCAGTTAAACTCAAATGTCACACTTATCATCTTAATTTAAAAAACAGATTTTTATTAATGGTGTGGTTATATCTTCAATATACAGTCAAGGGACATAACTATTCGCCATTTCAAAATGGCCGCCGTATTTTTTAAACGCGCACCTTGATATTTAGGATCTGTTAAACAATTAATAAATGCTTATCTTACCTCAATACTTTGTTAAATTGCCTTCCATCTTTAGTAATTCATTTAGTCTGCCAGGAATTGTCTTATACAGGTCCTCAATGTAGGAGGTTGGTACATTTTCCCAGGCAGTCTGCACTTCCGCCATAAGCTGATCTTTTGTGTTAATGAATTCGGCACGGCCCTAACAAAAATTTACCATAGTTAACTATAGTTTACTATAGTTAACTATAGTGAAAACTTTGATACTTTGATTTACTATGAAACTTTACTCTGGAACTGTTTTTGAGATTTCAAAGCTTAAAATCTCTAAAATTAGATAACAGTTATGTAAAATTTTGAAATAATGTGTGAATATACAAATAATATTTCAATGTAATATAAAAATGTGCATGTATGAATTGAAGAACAAAAAATATAACGATCTGAAATCCATAGTAAAAATACTGCAATTTACTATAGTGAAAAAACTTTGATACTATAGTAAACTATAGTAAATTGTAGTTAACTATAGTAAACTATAGTTAACTATAGTACTTTTTCGTTAGGGGGGTTTCCAGAGTTCTTTTTATTTTTAACCAAATGTTCTCGATAATATTAAGGCCAGGAGACTGGGCAGGCCATGATGTTTTTATTAAGTTGCTATTAGTGATGTATTCTTTTACTAAATTTGGTCTATAAACGGGAGCGTTGTCGTCCATAAACACTTTGTTATATTTGGAAAATGTCTGGCTAAAATTGGGTCAAAGGTTGTTGTCTACTATCTCAATATATTTTCTTGCATTTATGTTACCTTCTACATAAGATAAAGTTCCTATTCCTTTAAAACATACACATCCCGTCGCCCGCGTGGCACAGTGGTTAGAGCGTCTGCTCTAGAGTCCGAAGTAAGGAGTTGATCCTAACGTCGCGGGTTCGAATCCCACTGTAGGACGTGGAGACCGGTCCTTCGGATGAGACTGTATAAACTGAGGTCCCGTGTCGCAGTAGGTGCTGGCACGAATAAGACCCCTCATTGCTCAATAGCCGTAAGTGTCGAGTACAGGACAAAATTTGCAGCTTTCTACCGGCAAGTGGTGGCGTCTCCATATGAGTGGAATATATGAGAGGGACGTTAAACAACATACAAACAAACAAACAAAACATACACAACCCCAGATCATGATACTCAGATGTCGTCGAAATGGCCGACACACTAGCTGTGCACCGTACTTCTCCTCGTCTTTTCTCCACATATCAACTTTTTTATCCAATTACTATCTAGCTTTCTTCACTAAACACCCATTCATTCCATTTACGATCAACAGTCCAATTTCTTCTCTCCTTGCACCACTTGCAGCGAGCTTTTTTGTTGGCCTCGCGAATAGCGACTTTTTTGGCAACCCTCCGTTTGTATCCCAGCTCTTGAATTTTCTTTTTATAGTTCTAGAACAAAATCTATGATTGTTTCCCTCATTTATAATACCTGTTATGTCTTCGTATGTTCTTCGTTTGTTTTCTTTAACCACGCGTGAAAGTTTGTTTTTATCTCTGTCTGTAAACACTTTCTTCCTTCCCCTTCCTCGTCGATTTTCTACCTGTCCCGTTTCATCAAACTTTTTCACAATACTACGTATTGTAGACATAGGAATTCCTAATATTCTCTCCAATTCTGATGTATTTCTGTTCTCTTTATACGCTTTAACAACCATTCTTCTGACGGATGTATCTAATTCTTTCCCCTTCCGACCCATGTTGTTTTTACATAAATTCATCGACAAACAATAAAGCAGACGACAAAATTATTGTGTATACGTCATCAATTTTAATATTACAACACAATGATAAAAATAGAAAGGGAAAATCTCTTGTCTATTAATAGCGCTCAGCCCTACTTTACCGAACATGCGAGAAAACGTGACGCGATTTGCACGGAAGTTGCGAATAATTATATCCCTTGATTGTATATCTGGTTCTATACCCATTAAAATTACTTTTCAGAAGCAATATACATGTATAATAGTAAAGAATTTATTAGATCCAGTGAAAGCAGGAAAGACTATCCTTTTGAAATGATTAGAAATTTATGGGAAGAACTGGTCTGGTATAATCTTGTATTTTTACACTTTTATATATATACTTGGGTTGTTAGAAACATTTGCAGTCAAATTCTATTGTGAGCGCGCTATTTTCATGAAACCAATAATATCCTGTAGATAATTTTTTTTGTATTTTCCAGTAAATATGCAAATATTTGGTGTTTTCCGTTGATTTTCAAATATATACGGCTACATCATTGAAATAATTATTCCTTACGGACTATGTCACTTTTTCGCAAGTTTGCATTGCATAGACAATTTTTGACATTAAAAATTGCACTATTACCTGTATAGCACATAAAGATATAAAGCTCAGCATTTTTTAACCCACCATAAATTAAAGTCACATTGTAACATACTGTAGATTCCTTATTTTTCGCGAGTACTTATTTTCGCGAAATGACGTCATATCGCGAGAACAACAAGCATTCTGAGAGTATTGCATTAGCAATACTAGTCCCCTACCGGCAAGTGTAATCTGGTTCCCGTTAAAAATTGAAAATGCCATAATTCCGTCAAAAATCAATGAAGCGGGACGAAATGCAAACTTGATCTATAACTAATCAAGATAAAGTCACATACCAAAAATCAGCTCTATATCTGAAAGCGTTAAGAAGAAAATTGCGGAAAACCCCTAAAAATTGAAAAGGCCGTAATTCCGACAAAAATCAATGAAGCGGAACGAAATGCAAACTTGCTCTGTAACTCATCAAGGTACACTGACATACCAAAAATCAGCTCAATATCTGCAAGCGTTTAGGAAAAAAGTGCGAAAAAACAAGTGGGACAGACGGACAGACAGACAGAGGGACAGACAGACAGACAGACAGACGGACAGACAGACAGAGGGACAGACAGACGGACGGACAGACTCAGAGGAAACCTATAGTCCCCTCCGGTTTCACCGGTAGGGGACTAATAAAAGCGAGTAATTTTATTTCGCGAGTGGTGCTTCTCGCGTAATTACGCGATAATTAATTCCTCGCATATATTAAGGAATCTACAGTAGTGATATCGTGCAACGTGGCAATAAAATATATTTTAAGAGTGTATGTTTTTCTCATATTATTTTATTACACTAATTGAAAAAAGAAAATATTTGGTAGGACTTTTATTACTTTTGGTTGGAAATATTACAATTTACAAACCAATACAAGTATTCGTGGTTTCTGCAACTCTTGCAATAAATCGCCTTTTCCACTACTCTAAATTCTTAGTGGATCTCTCTTTACTATGTTATATTGTTTCCCTTGCCTAGATATAATACCCATAACTTGAATTTTCTGTGCATTAACATTACTCAATAGCGCAAGATTATAACACAGTATTTCTCATCTGTTCGACTGCTTCCCATGTTAATAAACTGGCATTTTTCAAAGTAACTAGCTTCAAGAGAGATCCGTTCCACTGCAAAATTACAAAGGTTTAAACCGTAAATGAAAAGAAATTTCCTTTCAATAATAACAACAAACCAATTTCAAAGATAAACAAAATACTCAATTATCCTACCTTTAGGCATGCTTTCATCCGCAGCTAAGTCCCTTTTCGGTGCTACATTTCGATATAACCGAAATGAGTATGATAGATGAGCAAATTATATGGACTTTGGACAATACACACCTTTAAGAACTGAGTTTAAAAGTTTCAACCAAACAGCATCAAAGGAAGCTCAATAAATTCAGTTTATAAATACCTATGGTAGAATCATCATATTTGTTACATCGTACCATTTATTATTATTAAAATCCCCTTTAAACATTGATTTTGTAAACTTAAAATAATATTTGCTAAGGGCATTTAAGGGCATACCCTTGACATAACATATCAAATATGTGCCAGGATTATTGTGTCTCTTTAACTTAGATAATGTTAATTATAAATATTAGAAGAATATGACCTTAATATGTGCGAAAGACCATTTGAGCTTAAAAGTACACAGAGATGTATAATTTTTGACCTCTCGCTAAAATATTCATAAAATATCATTTTGCGAAATTCTGATTTAAATTGCAGTTGTATTAACCGTTTTTGCCGCTTATGAAAGATGACAAATGCGCGGGGGTTGAAACTCCGAGCTATTAAAAAATTAAATCAGCTGAGAGGAGACTAAATTGTCCAAAATGTCTTTAGATTCTGCTGGGGATTTCCTTCACTTTTCTAGGAAGCAGTAGCTTTGTTAGAATGGAAGAATTTACATTTTTTATTATCAACTTCTGCAATTTTGTCTATTTGTACAACACGATATTTTTCACATTTTTAAGCAACGAGAAAAAATTATAAAAATCTTATAATAATCTTTTAGGGTGATGACATTGAACTTCAAGAAATGAACGTCTCGCCTCAAAACTGAAGCGTTTCCAGTGCAATCTTGCTACTCAATGTATGATGTCGCAATTTTTCCTTCCAGGGGTATTAAACATAAGAACTGAACCCAAATACATTTTAGTTACAGATATTGCGCATGAGGTGTCTTTTACGTTTGATACATTATTGATATTTTACTTTGTCATGTAAAACGTTGCTTGAAAATTATATATACGGTGCACAGAGGGGATATTTATGTTAAACTTTTTTTTTAAAATCATTTGTAATTTTCTATATGAACTCGTATATATATCTTCCAGTATCTTCTCATCTAAATAACAATTGAAAATTCATTGTAACATCAATAGAAAAAACCACCATATGTTCGATATTTTTTTTCCTTTTTATACATTATGAAATAAAAAATAATTCGTCTTCAATTTAAAAAAAATCTGAAATATGCATTAAACTTTGCTTACAATATAACCTGTAAATGCTCTCTTCCTCTGATAAAACAAGTTGTATTCAGTTTTAACATAAAAGCGACAAATTTAACTGTCATTAATAATTTTTGTTTTTGTATCATTCCAGGTAATATATTTTGAATTAATTTTTTATATATGGACACCCCCTAGTGTTTCTTTTATTTCTGCTCATTCTTTTGTCATTCCTCACTGAAATCTTCGATAACAATCTAAGTTTTGGAAATCAAATGCGTTGAATAACTTTAACTCAGTTTTCTTGCTTCCACACAGTTTTGCCCCGCTTAAAATTCGCCTATACACAGTTGCATTATTAAAAAAAAAAAAAAACAAAAAAAAAAAAAAAAAAAAAAAAACTCATGTACTTTTTTAAATTCATCCATTTGCAGCGAGGATGAAAGGTGCAAACATTTCCCTGTGAACAGATTACTGACTAATGTAACGTATTTAAATAAGTCTTTAAAAAATATTCTCCTTACTGTCGAAAATTGCTACGGATATTGTTTTGGATCTTCCATCTCATCCTGTTTAAAATCAATATACACGTCATCTCTACCTTAAACAAGAATCTGCCAATTGTTGACAAAGAAAATGGGAATGTTTGAAGGTCTGGAAATACGGCGGCTTTTGTATCTGGAGAGTATCCTTCTTTATTCCCTCACGCATGCTATATTGTAAATATTTTATGTTTGTAATATCCTCTTTATATTGTTGTTACAGTTTATGAGAATACACCACTGTCATTGTCATTGATCTTGATATAGAACAGTTTCGAGACCACTGATCAATGTTGAATTCCCACCATTTGTAATAATTATATTTTTTGTTATATTTTGTGCTCATGCTCTCATTTTTTGTTCATTTTCTTTCATTTACAACAAATTATTAGTCTTACTTATAAATATATAGTTTTGATGTGAGATCATTGAATAGAACACAACCATCAATGTCCATGTTAAGCCATAAATTAACATTTAATGAAATTAAAAGTTGACACTTTTTCTGTCACTCGTAGGCTTGATTTATAAAGAACAAGGTACGGTTTCAATACAAATCTTGCCCTGGGTTTTTCTTAGAAATAAAAGTGATGTAAAAAATTAAAACTCATGCTTTTTGAATTATTGAAATTCCATGCAGAAAGATCATACAAATCTTTTTTCTCACATGACCTTCCAAATGCTAATTGTGACGTTATAAACTTGTGCATTTTCCCGTATTTTCTTAAAAAGTTGCAGAAGACATCAATTTTCAATGGAATTTTCTTTCAGATAATATTGTCCACAGGTATCGCCCACAAAGATTTTGAGATATGTGATTTTTCAAAGAATTTTACACAACATATCTAAAAATTAACGTGGGCGACGGCTGTGGACACTATTTTCTTAAGGAAAATAACCCTTGAAATGGGTCATTTTGAGGCTTTTTCTGTTTAAAATAGAGAAATGCATCAAATTAATGACGTCGTATATCCAGAATGGTACTCCATCATGCTATATTCTTTCCTGATTTATTACAGTCATATACTCAACTAATATTTAAGCCAGTTTCAAAACTTTTTGAAAACATTAAATTTTTAGGGCACAATAAAGCTAAAACCATACCTTCTTCTTGTAATCTATAGAGGGTATATAGTGAGTTTCCTATGATAAATAGCTCCCAGATCAACGGAAGCAGCGTTTCTGCTAAAAAAAGAAACATCTGCTACATTAAAATGTACACATATAAGGCAACACATACAACTCCATGCAAGTAAATTTATTTTTTCTGCTTAAAATTTATGTTTATCGTTGTTTTAATTAATACCACATGATCTTATCGTATATGAATTAGTAATTTGGATATTTTCCAATATCATATGATGGTTGTGAT